AACAAGACTTCAGTTCTCGATTACTGTAATTGATCTCCCCAGAAAAGACCTTCCTAGAGCATAAAATGCAGACGTAAAAGCTGAACTATTTAAAAAAAAACTTTTGTATTGCATATTTTGTATCACAGAAAAAATTATGGGATTTAGCAATGTCTGTTTTGATTGCACAAGATAACAGTGACGGTTCCTTCATCATAAATCCAGAGAATGAAAGACAGCATCTATTATTTTGATTGCAACATCCGAAGCAAAAAAGGTACATCATCAAATTTTATCAAATATCGTATCATCTTTTTCTCATAATGAAGGCACTTTTTTCAGTTTGACATTCTAATGGAAGACCTAATACTTGGATCTTGCCATGAAAATGTTTTTTCTCAAATTCGGCAGATCATTTAATCATTTAAATTATTTTCTTGGTAGCTGGGTTCGTTGAGGTCGACAGATAACAATCTCAATAATGAAACTTGGAATGTACTCACTCTTAAAACCAATGCGGTAGATCCTGGGCTAGCACGATCAGTGTCGAGAAGAATTTGATGAGTCATAAAACATTAAAAGGTCACTTTAACCAACCACCATTAGCACCACTGATCGGATCAATTACTTTCACCAGACAGGACGATAGCGATGCTCAACACCGAATTTTGCTTCCTCCAACGGTACTGATTAATGCTAAGGGGATCACTGTTATTGTTATATGTAAAATGCCTACTTATTTGCTTCCCTAATAAAGTAGGGCTACATTTGACAATTTTGCCGGACGCAACACCTACAACGCATGGAGCATCATCGCTTTATGATCCTGAATGTTCTCACACTCAAAATCCTCTGAATTGGGCGTTGAGCAATTAACTCGATTTAATTAGACCAAGGTTCCAAAAAGTTACGTGGAACAACGTAGAAATTAAGGCAGGTTTTAACACTGGCTTGAATAACTTGAGGGTTTTTGAAAAAAAAACTTTTAAGGGTTTAATTCAAGGATTAATTTAGACAATTCTCAAATAAGTTAGTTTCCATAGGAGGCATAAAGAGTGCTAGAATGTGAGGGTTCCATAATCTGCTTAAGCGAAGTCGCTAAGCACTTTAACCGATGTGATTAACAGACATTGTTTGCGGCTGGATGAATTTTCAAGCCCAAGTAAACAAATAATCGGTGACATTTTTTGTAGTTTTAGCCGGATTTGCAAATACCTGCGTCCAATTCCTACCCATTCGCCCTAATGACTTCGTTCTATTTTAAACCCTATCATTAAGTGGTGGCGCAAATATTCGATAAGCAAAGAATTCAAGCAATTTTTTAACGCATCCTTAGAATTTCGATTCAAATATATTAAAAAATGGCGAAAAAATCTGATAATGCTGCATTTCTAGTGAAGAGAATTAGGATGTACCTGGATTTTCTCAGCCACGCTAATTAATGCTTAGGTTTGCACTGTTAACTTTAGTTTCACAAGGCTTGAGTGAATTACTTGGTAGCCGGTGCATTAATCCGCATTTCTTAAAAATCGCGAATAAAAAAAGGCATTGATAGTTGATCATGCTGGGACCATGCACATTAACAAAGCATAACGCAACACATTATTTGGAATCCACGGAGACCCTATCAATCGTCCAACAAACTCAGGGAACACATTTGTTTAAGAACTAAGTAGAATCTTAGAAAGGGTTTTTGAGGCAATGAGTACACGAAAAATTGCAATGTTCTGTTTGGTGGTGTCATCGTAGAGGAGTGTATAAATAACAACAGCATAAGCAAGAGTGAATGAACGCGCCGAAATCGAAAAAACCGCATAAACAACCCGTCATGGCAGACTTTAATATTGGTTAGCCTCAACAAATAATTTTACGACAATAAGTTAAATGAACAATATACAACAAATAAAGTCCATATCACAGTTAAGCATTTTAAGGGTGTTTAAACAAAACCAGTATAGTAAGACAAAGGGTTGTACGGAAATAACAAGACAGGTGTTACAGAGTGTTTGATTTTATTCTCTGCCTTTAAATGATTTAAGTGTTGGCTTAGCAAAAGTTTTCGTTAGTTAGCAGATTGCATTTCCAGTTGCCTTAAAAGAAGCTTCTCTCACGCAAGTTATATGCAGCAAGGTATTCTGATATTAAGAACCAATTTCGCTTAGAACTTGACCGCACGCATGATTTGTCTCTATAGCCTAAATTTCCTATTCGTCATCAGCCTATTATGTACGTCACGAAATTTCGCCAGTGTATTCAAATACTTAAGCACCGAATTTGTTCACTAACCCCAGTGGGACACGGCACTTCGCAATGTACAGTCCTTAAATTATGTAAAACAAACCGTCAGCGATCTTCACTCTTATTGCATTTTCTCTTCAAAAACGCTGCTTTTTTAAGCACTCCGTTCCAGAGATAAGCGAAAAAGGCATGGAGTCAGCTTGTTTCGTTTTCGTGACTATTAAGCTCAAAACTAAACCATTAAATTGCGTTTTTAGCGCATGTGGAAGTTAAATTTCGAAACCGGAACAATTTGACACTAAACTGCGCATTTATAAATTACAAATCAATGTCATGCGGTTTACTAGAAGGCCCGTACGAACAACGGAGCTGAGAATGTAAAATATGGACATTACGCCTGTCAAAAGGTAGTCAAACATGATCCATTAATTTGCCTAGGAATTACTGACATTTTTTGTGAACATTAAATGCATTCCTAAACACTGGTAGATTACGAAGACCTTTTGCCACTTTTCACGCCCTATGAAATAGCTACATAGTTGTAGGTACATAACCTGCCGTCCCTAGATTTAACCTGAACTCGCAATTATAAAAAAACGACTGTATTTTGCATCGCACCTTGGGCAAATTAATCTATACTTTCGAAGCTACGATTCAACCTGCGCGATGTAGTGATTTATTTATTAATTCACTTGAAAAATGGTTTCTGTATTTTCCAACTCAAAGGTGGTTTATAAACCAGCCGAATGGAACAATTGCGGACTTAGTACTTAATGAATTCTCTAAATGTCTGAATAGCCATGAAATTTTGTAAGGCCAAAGGTCTTGGGAAGACATTCATTCTACTTTCAAATATCATTCTAGCTGTAGTGCGTTGGATCGCATTTAGTGGTTTACAAACTCCACTATTTTTCCCACCGAGACAAATCTACTTCACAATTGTTGAGTTATATTGATTAATAATTTTTATCTAGGTAAGTATTAGTGTGGGTTATTTCAATTTTAAACTAATTAGAAATACCCTGCATATTTTGCACCTCTAAAGTATAAATGGACTGCCGAAATTTTCAAAATTTAAACTTAGTCGCATCACAAATAATGACCTGTATGAACCAATTTTTCATTTTCAGCTAACAGTTCATCTCAAACGATCTACTGTGGATTTTAACTTCATCTCCTTATTAAAACAGGTCTTAATTTAAGTATTAAACTATGTTTGCAATGTCGGAGGGCCAATAACTCCATCACGTCTTTATAGTGCCGACTCAAATCTTTTTATTCTAGCCTATCAAAATGATAATAGCACAAAAGATCCCATGAGTGTCATTAATTGTCCACCTTACCATTGAATAAAAATAACGTTTAATTTACCATACATCTTTTCAAACTGTACCTCGTTTTCATGTACACATGAAGTTGAAGAATTCAGATACGTTACTGTCCGAAGTTTTTCATAATTCACAAGTTTTTACTTAAGATGGGCCAACGCAGTTTAAGTAGGGCGAATTTTTTTCTTTACAAATTTCCTTTAATTGAAGGTTAAAACCGACCGACGACAAACGTTTTGTGTGTCAACATTCACTTAGAGTGGTAATTACATTTTAGGAAAAGGTGACGTCACAAGTTTAGTTAATTTGGGTAAAAAATCGCACATGGTATAAACTTTATTGCTTTCAAATTCGCATTCCTATGAAGTGGACTAAACGTCACTTTGGACCCAGCTACTTTGCACATCTCAAAGTAGAGTTGCTGCACGTTAATCAAAGGAGTTAAGCAATTAGGAATACTCCGCACTCATACCCCTCCTAACATTCGAGGCTTTAGACTCAATTTTACTGACATAAGCGCGGACAACTTGAGTATATGAGCAAGCTATAAATTTAAAAATTCCATCTTCTCATGTACAATCTACTAGTCATGTCAACTAGACAAAATTTGGTTTAAAATGTGGTCTGGCATTACAGAGAAGGTCTGTTGCCAGTTACTCCAGTAACTGCGATCAAGTAGGCGTATCGTTACTACTTCTGTGATAATCTATCAATAGTCGGGCCTAACAAGTAGGACAGTATAGACAATGATGGTTTTTTTTAAATATCGAAGTCGGCGCATTTAATGCCTGCTGGCAACGAGGGAATCTTCTAAAAACGACGTCGATCGCAATTTTTACCAAGACGGATCTTAAGGGGATTTCAAACAGACCGCCGAAAATAATGTGATCTAAAAATATTCAGTTTAGATGATATTTCAAAACCAAGTTTAATTGCAGAAATTAACGTTTACTAGACAGTTTGTGAGTTTTTTTCAAAACTCAGACAGACAGGGTTGATAATATTAGTAAATTTGCTGCCGCCTGTTAAAAAATATTTTGGTTCTTTGTCTGCTGCAGAATCTGGTCTTTCATATGTTTTTAATGAAAATATTATACTAGTTTTTTGACCTCACCTGAGTTAATAGAAAGCAGAAATAAGAATCTGGTTTGTTTCAATAATTGTTTAGCAAATGGATCCTAACATTGCCTCCATACAGATCGCGTCAAGGCTGAAGCGCAAGATTTCAAGTCCTTCCAGTGTTAAGTTCTTTATTTTATCTCAAATATTTTATTATGACAGGTTTCTGAGATCCAGCAATGGCAAAATGACAGGCTTAACTTTGCAAAAAAACTTTGGAGTGGCCGTGTCAGTGAAATTATGTAACTGTACATGGAGCTTAATGGTTACATGGCTTTTGTGGCTTGAAGAATGGAAAGAATCGCATGGCATTCAGTGCGGCAGGTCTGCAGCTTCTCAAATCCGTTGACCTTCCAAGTAAAGGTTGTTTTCCGCTGCTGTTTTATTTGTTCCCGAATTTTGGTTCACGTATTTAACGTTTTTGTGCTGCTGCAATGCCAGTCGGTCGTGCCTTCTGTCTCTCCGTTTAGCCTTGAAGACGTTGATGCAATTTATGATCAATTCAATGACTTCTACAAGACAGATCATTGTGAGACCTATCCAAATGGAGAGCAATCCACCGGCTTGTGAGAGGAAGCTGGTTAGAGAAAAGACCTCCTTCTCAGCAACCTAAAATCGTGAAATAAAATTAGTGCTAGTTGGATACTTGTTGCGATAATTTAAACACACTGCTTGCTATGATGAAGGAATTCTGCCTGGCTTATAGCCATTGCTAATCCTTGACTGAGAATCTATAAATTATGCTTGTTAACAGCGACTGTGTCCTCCATCTTAGTGCCTTGATTTGGCTGAATGTTATTATTCCTGGCGCATCCAAGCCAATGGCAACAAGTTTACAAACATGAATTTATTTTTGTGTGGTATAGCAATAGTGAAACATGATCCCAACCACAGTAAATAAATTATTGATTATGAGGTCACGGAGGAATTGAGGAGTAGATATCCTTAAAACTTACTCATTTACTAGTGTTTTTTTTTAATTTGAAAGTCACAATGCGAGTAGTTCTCAAGTAATGCAATACTTGAAGATTATGGAGAGTGAACAAGTTTTGCTTGAGTAGTTCAATAACTTGTAAGAAACACCACACACGTCTATCAAAGGTAGCAGCACAAAAAACCACACACTTTAACTGTTAGCATGGTCTACAAAGTGATCACGGACAGTTATTAACAGAGTTGTCAAACGATCGAATGGTCTTCAAGCGGGCTCCCGGTGATTCCGCAGGTCACACAGTCTCTAGTTCGATGGATTGTAGCTTCCCAAGGAGAACTCAACAGCTGGAAATGCTGTCAAACTTTGGACTGTCAATTACTTACTTTCCCTCAACTTGCCTCTACTGTTAATTATTGACTTAATCTATGTTAATCGGTGTGCATTAGTCTGTTTTGAATTTATTTTTTTTTCATTGAGCAAAATAATTTTTCTGTCTACCTCGAAGCGTGAAGAAGAAAACGACTACACAATACCAGTCAGAAAGCTTGTTTTGATTTCTATGTTTAGTAACTCACGAACAATATTCATATGAACTAATAGTTAAAAATTTCTTTGAAAATGAGCCTGAAACTTCCGGTCAAAATCACAGCGACATGAACTAAAACGTTCAGTTAGCCTTTTTGTTTTAAAAGTTGTACAGAATTCACTTCTGTAAAACTCCTTAATGCAAATAAAACTGGGTGTGTAGGTTTGTGTAGGTTTGTATTTGAATAAACTTATCGTCTTCGGTACGATGAAACAATTGATGTATTTTTGGTCACGGTCAAAAAAATTCACACAACGCACCTTGTGTAGGTTAAAATTCGGTCGAACGACCATGATGGCCAGGAGGTTTCGTTCCACGGCGTTGTTCTCTGCAAGGATCCGCAGAACTTCGTCACGGTTCTTATCACCGGGTTGGTCGAGGAGTTCTTCAGCCCTCCGATACTCAGACATCTCAGGCATCTGCAGAATGGTGCGACCAATGGGCGTTTTGAGCCAGGTCAGCTGCCAGGACTTGGTTGGCCACGTCGAGGTCGACCGATCCGTCTCGTAGGAGTAAAACGCGCAGGGAAGGGTGCACGTGGGCACAACGTCACTCTAATTTGTGCACGAAAATTTTATAGAACACGGTAAAGGGACTGTTTTTGTTGTCCCGGGGTAACTTTTATATTTTTCCCTAGAGAAACCTTGCACCGTACCAGACCACCAAAGTATATTCCGCTTCGTGATTTGTTTATAATATTTGCATGATGTTGATTAGTGCATTATTTTCACAATACTTGAATGGCGAAGAATGTTCCATGAAGCTGTTTGTGTTTGGTGTGTTGCATTTTATTTCGATGTCTCTTCTGGAGAAGATAAAAACTGTCCGCAACTAGTGTAAATTGCTTGTGCAAATATCGACTTTGGTTGAGGCAGGATGCAAAATAAGTTCTGTAAAAAAATACTTCATTACATACACAGGAAAATGTTTTGCAGAACGTATCTATCATCGCCGCTTTTGGGGCATAATAAATGATTATTTTGTTGCCATGAATTCTCAAATGCCACTCCTCGGGGGTCATGTACAACAAAAATAAATTATAATGTGCCGAAAAACTATCCGTCTGCATCTGCATTTTCTGACATGTAGTAATTCAGTACCAAGGAGAACTTGATTAAAGGCCCTTGCACTTACAAACGGTGGGCCAGGAGAAATGATGACGACTTGGGATTATTGTGTATTATTTTGTATATTCAAACAAAAAGAGAACACTTGGTTGCGTATAATTATCAAAAAGTGCATTTTCCTGCATGCTGCTCTTACAGCATTGTGAGTGTTGGTCTTTCTAAGTAAACTTGTGCCTGAGTATGACTTGAAGTTTCCTAAATTACGCGATTTTCAATGTTGAAACGATTTTATTATGGCAGTGCTGTAGGTGCTAGTTTAAATTAACTTGATTAACAGTTTTCGGTTAAATTACGCAAATTAAAAGTCATTTTGGCTGCCAAGGTGGCCAAGGAACACCCACGACACAGATAATTTCGTGAAAAAAGAATGTAATTAAATGTTGTCAGGAGAATGTTGCACGAATCTACTTTGCGTCAGGCCGATGACCAATCCTGATGGCATTGATGGTGCACATCATTAGGTATGTTAAAAGTAATATTTGTGAGTAGCGTGCGTTTAAACATGGCAAATTGACACTGCAACACCTTTCTCAGCACAAAAGTTTGCAAGCGTGAAATTTAAAATGAATAAGGTTCATGAAGAAATGTAGGGCTACATGAAATCATCTTGTCAATTTGAACGACGAATTTCGATTATTTCTCATTATTCGTTATTTTTTTTCAAGGAGTTATTGGAAAGAAAATAAAAAGGCAAAAACATAATTATTTGTTTAGTTAATGCAACAGTTTGACTTCAGATGTCTTCAAAATGCGTGTTTTAAGATGAATTTTGGATTGCTGAGGCAAAATGTCTGCTGTACCCTGGAGATTTTGCTTTTTAATAACCCACTTTAGGACAATGAAGTGGTGGCACATGCACCCATTTCACAGTCAGACAGCGGCCACTCGCCATAATTTGCCTAACACCATTGTTAATCGTCAGAATGCTTTAGTGGCCTGTATAATTAATCGCCTTTCTCACAAAACGTTTTCCCATTCTAAATGATTCGCGATTTTCTAATTTTCTGAGTTTTGTCGAATACGCTAACAGTGTAGTCGTGTTTGTGCTAAGTACTCTTGCAAAAGGTAGTCACCAGTGTTATCTGAGTTGCCCAATATGAGCCGCTTTGTACAATTGCAATTTCCTACTGTCTTAATCATGGTCGTAGCTACCAAGGCTAATGTTTGTTCAAAGCGAAAGAAATGTAACGACATGATACCGACTGAAATTTGAGAGGACCGTTTAAACCCACGTAGTGTGAAATGAGGTCATAATTGAGCGCTTTCCCCAGACAAATATTTACTGTCATATTCAACCTGGCATTTGTTTTGGCGTCAGTGGATATGTGATTAGTGTAGATACCATTATTTTTGTGTACGACGCAGCAGATTTTAATAATGCAAACTGTTTACACAGAAAACAATCCTACCTGGGTTGTTTGAAATATACCGACATAGTTCATTACAATTTTATAATTTCTGACAGAGCTGCTGAATCATCTAATCTTGACTAAATAAGCTTCTCCCCAAACACATTTCTCTTAATCTGTTATTATCGAAAGGAACACAAAATATGTAAGCCTTTAACGAGTTCAATTTCGAAATAAAAACCGAGTGTAAATTTTCGAAAATCCCACACGTTTCGAGCCATGAACATGCTTTCTGGTAAAACACTAAGGGGCAATGTTTGTCGTGAGTTATCCGGCTTCTAAATGCCATAATTTTAATCTAAAAACAACTTAAGCAGAGTTGGAATGCGTGACCTTCTACAATATTAACGCATTAGTCGGTACTAGATTAAACCCAGTGACTGGACAAGCGCTCTATGTTCTCAGAATCATCGGCACTCACCATTTCTTAAAAAAAGGGTTCTAGAGTACGTAAAGTACCGACGTTACAAAAAAATGACTGCTTATTTTTTAGGACAAAAGTGCTCGATTGCATTGCTTGCGAATAAGAGATGTAAACTCAGCGCACCAAACCTCCTCAAGTTGTGGCTTTCATAGGAAGTTATTTATGTGACCTCAATTATTTCTGTAGTTGCGTCCGCTGACGTAGTCAATTTAACACTATCTTAATCTTTAAATTCACAAAAACTAGGTGTAGTTATTCGTGCATAAATATGGGATCAAGGAAAGAGCCAAAGACCGACGCCTGTTGCGTGCATTTTTTAGTCGACAATCCAGTTCGGTCTAGAATTAAAACGAACAAATAGTAAAATTTGTTTGCAGAAACAAAATTCAAAGGAATTACAGTTGCGTGGTGCAGTTTAAATTTACAGCAGCATTGGGCTGAAGGATGTTTCATCGGTGTTAGTGGCCTCAAAGCGACATTTCCCATTGATAAGCCTAAATCTATTACACTTTCTTACAGATGCAATAAAATTCAGTTTTAAATGGAGCCTAGATTTTCTTCGATGGAATGAGTAAATTGTGTACAACTGTGATTAATTATTCTTCAAGCCAAAACAACAAATGCATTGAGACAAGGATGTCAGACATAAATCCAGATTGCGCTACAGAGCCTAGTGAAAAGTTATAAATGCCGTATTTACTTAAGTTCTTGTACTGTTTGTTGACCTCGTGACGGAACTGTCAGTACCTCAACGGTTTTATCTATTTTGTTCAATCTTGTCGACATTTTGTACGTTACAGCCGTGTTTTACTATCAATCACTGAACAGTGACATCCCTTCTGATTTATATCCTTTTGCATTTTCTGTCCCATTTGCTAATGACTCTTTTTCAGGTAATATTTTAAAAACGTAATATCCAACTTAGGTTAGTAATTTTACATAGTATTTTAAACGACCTCATACATTTTATATGAAATTCACTTGACAAATAACTAATTCAGCCGTAAAAGGTCACTCAAACAGTTAGTAATTAACAGCACCCAGCAGACAATGTTTTGTCGTGGTTGCCCTTGATTGCGAGTCTCAGCGTAAGGCAGTAGATGTCTGAAAATTCGTAATTTTAACTGCGTTCGACTTATTTGTGTCATGCATTTTTAGAAGTGAGCATACATTTTGCCATTTTGTGATGGATTGGAAATGCAAATCAGCACACCAACGCAGAAAGCTGCCATGGCTCCACAATCTCCTTCGATCTGAGTCAATCGAAGTAGTACTCAGATAACTCTAACTGAATTTCGCTATCTGACATGGCATATAACGGATTTTGAAAAGGATAAGTCTTGTTTACATAAGATGTGAGTTGCAAGTCATTTGGTTTACAGCTGTTAGCTTTATATTTGGTTTGATATGAAGCGCAAAAGCGAACATTCTTGATAAGTTTTGCATTTTTTTGGCACAGGTCCTGCGAAATGATATGTAAAGTTTTGTTTTTGATTGCCTAACAGAACTCACTCGTCAAAATTGGCCTAAACATGTCCACCTTTGAGATTTTCCACTCAAAAGGACCAACGTCCTGGTTTTCCTACAACAGTTCATGAGGACCGAATCAAAGTCACAAATAAACCGGACCATCATGTTCCTGAGAGGGACATCACAGAGGGGTAGATGAATGCGATGAACAAGCAAAAATCATAAACTATTTATCGTCGGTGTGGTGGATTTCGAAGAAACTAAAGGCATAAACCGAATGCCTGCTGGCAACAGGCAATGGGGTTTTGATTTTGAAGCAATCGGAGAACTAATGAATCAAAAAATTAATTGTGATCTATGAAGACAGTGCAAAATTACAAAAGCCTTTGGCGATAACTGTAAATTTTGGCCGATTTGCCATTAAGCCCTGACCTTTGTAGGTCTGCGAGATTCTGTGAATGGATAAACCAGAAATAGGCGTTGGGTATCCTTTAGTCATAAAGGCCATAAGTACTGTAAAGGCATATTAATGAAACTGCCAGAACGGTGGAAATTTTCCTTAATGCACAGATTAGGTTTTACTTCAGAATATACAAAACAGGACTCACGTTTTGCCAACTTATACTATTCATCGATTCAAAACGTATTCTGTTCAAACTCTGTAGACTTTTCCCAACTGCTTTCTGGCTCTTTCTGCCTGACTCACCCTTCAATCAAGTCAAATTTTTCTACCTAGTTCATTACCTCCATGTAGTTAGGAAAAATGATTCCATGATATTCATTTCGCTAATATGACTGTGGGTCCGCTTCAAGAATGCAGTGCCTCACTAGCATTTACTAGTTGTTTAAATGCTAGAGGCAAATTTTAATGCACACATAAATTTGTTACGTTTCAGTAAGTTTAATTGGACGTGGCACTATTTCTTGAAATTTATTTGCTCTAGTGAACTGAATGCGCACTACCCCAGTCGTAAAGCAGGTGATGTTAAAGTCAGAATGACTGCACGTCTTAATCAAGCTTGCTTATCTTACTAGTTCTTTGCTTGGTATTTAATTAACTTTTTTATCTAGGTACTTTAAATGCCCTCATCCGATTGGTTCAATTTACTAACTGTATAATTATCCTTAAAGTGGAAGTGATAACTGTTTACTTAGAAGTCAATAATTTCAGGGACTCGAAGCAGCTTGTAATCTAGATTATAAACACAAGATGTACTCATTTAAGAGCAAAATGTTGTTTCGTGTGCCACCGAAAGGAGAAAAAACGATGAATGTTTTACCTGGAACCTGTGCATCACTTGGGCTTTGCACAGAATCCGATCCCTTGCCATGTTCAACTGCTTTTCGCACAGGAGGAATTCCTCGCTTGGACCAGTAGCATTGAGCGCCTGCGCTTGCTTCACCATGTCTTCATAGACGCACCGGTTTTCCTTCACAAAATCCACCATTGACATGCAGAACGGGAGGGTGTCATCCATGCGAGGGAATTCTATCGCGTTGCAATTGCAATTTTTGTTAATTTCATTCTATAAAATACGCGAAAAAATAAAAATTTAACCTCACATTGGGGAATTACAGTGAATCAAACTGTTCTTTATTAATCTACTCTTCCCTATTTCATATCTAATTGAAATCCGATTACAATTAATGCATTGTGAGCTTGTGTAAGTTAGAAGTTGCCTATTAATTTGTGGTCACTACTTTGTACTGGCAGTAAAAGCTGTCCACTGTAGGCCCGAAAAGTTTCTACTGCTCTGTGATTCACTGACTTATAGTTACAAGGTTGAACTTTAACATTCGGACGATGACATTACTTTGAAGCGGGACAGTAAATACTCGCTATTGTCTAGACCAAAGATTCCTCAAACAGATGGTTTGGTGTGGCCAGATATTATGTTTTGCAACACTAGTTTATTTAGGCTTGAAAGTGATCTCAGAATTAAATGCTTAGTTTACATTAATTCCAATTAAAGCGATATTCAATTCGACTTTTAGACACCCTCAGTGCGCATGGAATGTGTGATCCGTTTAATAAACTTGCATAATGGCCTAAAACAGCCGTGTATTAGCACACCAAGCACACTCAACAGTCATTGACGTTACGGTTGTTAAAGTGCGCGCCAAACAGTTTGAATATGCATTTAAAGGTGCGTAATTTATAATTGCATTGTGATCTCACGTCCGTAAAACCACTAAACTTGCTTTCAGTCAGTAAATTTCTCATGAACCCATTTATCCGCCTCCTTAAAAATCCCTGTTTTTGAATAGAAGGGCCTAGATACAGGATAGGCGCTTTCGTGTTTCGCGAATACAACCGCATGTGAATCACTGGTGAGGCTGGATTTCATTCTTACTTCAGTAATTACTTTCAGGATTGGATACGTGAATTAGAACAGAAGACGCCGAATTCCCCCACTGGGTTTCCAGTAACAAAACATGCAGAAGCCCTCAAAAGAGCTGACTTTATTGAATCGCGTGAATGCTGTTAGGTGTAGACAGGGGATGATTTCGTTAATGATAATAAGAGTTGATCTATAAGAATTCAACGGATAGCAAAGTTGCTTTATTTATACCGAGTAATCAGTGAGTATCTTCTAGCTCAATAATCCTGTAGTGGTTTCGTTTGCACTACCTCACAACCATGCAAGTTGACAATCGAATATGCCTATTAATTTGCATTTGATCACCCAGGTCTTTTATAGAACAGCCCATGTGTGCAACTCAAACATCAAGTGTAATCGAAAATCGATGAAATCCGATCAACTCGTGAACACGCTTCATTCGCGCTCGTTTGATGAAAGTTCCTTACACTCCATTAATGATGCTACCTAAAGCCTACAATGCAAATATTAGCTTTTATGTCAGTAAAAGGTAATGGTGAAAGCCTCCATGGCGATTCTTGACATGATTCTTGATATGATTCTTTTCGGGGAGCACGTTTTCAGCATAACCAAAGTTTAATGAAAAAAAGAAAAAGCCCTGGCTGTTCACTGATTGGTCCGATGATTATTGGCCAAAATGAGTACCTTTTTCATTGAGGGAACGAAAGAAGCAGGATTTTAGTACTGCCCTGTGCTGAGAAGGTGGGGTTTGTGTTAAACGAGGGATTTGGGTTTTTTTGATTTCGGGCAACAACGTAGCACAATGTTGAGATTTACCACAGTTCAAAAGGACAGTCAACAGACGATGCAATGCGATGTAAACTGAGTTTGCCACCAAATCTCCTCGTTTGCCGTGCAATCGGAAAAGTTACCATTTACAAAAAAAAATTGCGAACCTTCGGGTACCATTTTGGAGACGCATATTTTGCAGTTGAGGCCATGTCCATTGACCTCAAAGCCAACTCTTCACAAAAGTTCAACTTTGGAGTTAGGTAACCATCGGATATAACTAGGCTGGTGTGTGCGTTTAAGCAACTAAGGGGTTAAATGGCTTGAATAGCTACGGAGTATACTCATCCACCAAATTTTAGGCTGCTCGGTGGTTGCTTCGACTGCGCCGAGTTACATGACAGCGGAAATCAGAATCTGAAATGATGAGTGATTTAACTTCCAGCCTGTGCACCTATTTCCCTAATCAAACACATAAGTAGCAAATAACTGTCCACTGTTTCCAGACAATAAATACATTTTAGACATCTGGAGTAGGGTTGGTGCAAACCTCAGTGCAATCAAAAATGTGTCTGAACATCAAACTAAAAGACCTTGGATTTAAAAGAAAAAAAAGTGGCTACACCGATATGGGCCACACTCTCGGTGTGTCCTCAGCACACCCTGTGTGGGCTTACAAGCCAGATAGTCCGTAGTGTGCGAGATCTTTGATCAACGCCTTGTTAGCTGTGAATAACCTCCAATTCTAATCCAGACAAATTAAAGTCCAACAACGCCTAGCAGATTCAAATTTGTGCGCATGAAAATCTATTTGATGTAATGCAAATCAAGCCAAATGTTTATCACGCAAGTACACTTGTGAACCTTTTAAATAAGTATAGAGAAATCAACTTCTGTTTATTTCCTTCCTGTAGGTCTGACAGGTTGCTTGCAAACGGAATTTTTTGTCATTCATTGCAAAGGTTTCAACAGTTCACTTTAAATACTTTATACATGAAAAATTCTTTTTCGCTATTCGACTTGGAAAATGTGAAGAAATGGCGTACTCCGCTCAAAGATTGCCATAAAGATATGAAAAGTCATAGGAGATATGTGTGATTCCTAAAAGAAAGTGCTGAATTTTATACCCAAGAAATTTTGCCTGTTTTCCAAGACAAACAGTCGGAATAGCCGACATTAGAAATATGTAAGTCCTTAACTTTTAGGCTACAAGAATGCGTCCAGATGGAAGTATCTACCCCTATTCTGATTAACATGCCATAACAAACAAGTAAACGAATACATTTTGCAGTTTTGAGACCTGTTTGGAGTTGTACTTTGGCTTAGGCTGTAAATACACTATGTAGACACGCTAGAAAGCCTAAATTGTGGCATTCTTTATTGTTTTTTTCATGCATTAACTAGGCTTCATGAAGGGAACTTGCAAATCGACCTGGGCACTGACCATGGTATCTCGGAAAGATTAACTTCACCTCTAGGTTAGACTGTCTTTGCAACAATGGCTACCATACATGAAATCAGGATCTAGGAGGCTTGTGGCGTGCTAAAGTCACGATGTTTCGCAAAGTGGTGCTAAATTAAATCATTGTTTCCTTCCGCCGTGCGTCTACCTTACCCATTTTATATGGGTTAATGGCTCCAAACGTATACGCAGTAACTTGACGGTATTTTATTCTAAGCGTGTGTAGGGTCTGAAGGAGTCATTAAATTTAACTGTTGGTTCTATTAACATTTTTGGCCTCTCAGGTCAATGTCAGAAGCGGCGTGACAGGTTACCAAATTCCATGCTGCCTAACTTAACCAGCATGAAAACACCTGAATTGCCGGGCTCTCTTACAAAGGTTTATGAAAGTCTTACTTCGAGGAAACTAAAAAAGTCAACTTAGCCATAATTGGATTTTGTGAGAGGAATAAAAACGGCTAAGTTGACATGACAAATTCTGTTGTAATCTTTGTCTAATGCTGGATTTCTGCGTCCGCATTCAAAATAAATGTTGTGGAATTACAAACATCCGAAGCATTTTTGAGGAATATATCCAGACTGTAACTAAAATTGTGCTTTTAAATAACATAGCTCTTCGCAGCTATGGCAGATATTCATATACGTTTTTCACCTGCACATTGAACGATGCATGAAACCCTTACTCCATAAGTTTTTTTTTAAAATAAACACGAGCCATTAGCGGTAAATTTTGTTGTTTAAAAACGAGTCAATTAGCAAACCTCGGCGTTTTGGCACAGTGAGATTGACTATTAATGGCAGACTTAGACTCTGGTATAAGTTAATTTTTGACTCAACCTTGAAGCTGATTTTGTAAAGGACTTCCTAAAGACGTAAACAGAACTAGCGGCTGCCGAGTTTTCACAGTGTTCCAAATTTGTGAAGACAATTAATTTCTCTTCTTGATTAAAATTAAACCTAGGACTAAGGCTTGAGAAGCACAAGTTTTGATGTGAAATGCCGTAAATGGTAAAGGAATATGAATTAACACATTGGAAACCAATTTATATAAATAAGCAAAGTCGCCATGTTTATTCAAACCTAGTTGCCAGTTGCACTGCTTCGATTCCACGGTTTATTGGACATTTTTAATTAGCTGTTTTCACTGATTTGTGTGAGATTCTTAACATATACCAGACTTCACTTATTCAACTCCTCTATCTGTCATTACAGGCTTTGTACCTCGCAACTTTGGCTTGCCGAAAAAGCATTTTAATGAAATAATGAAACCCTAGGATACAGGTAAAGCCAAACAACACGTTTTAAAGATATGTGGCTGACTTAGCCAACAGCATCATTTACCTGAATGGTTAGCATCCTGCAGCCGTACTCAGAGTATGCGTAGCTTATGTTGTCGTAGCTCGGAATCTCCGTGGGTGTGTCAAGGGAGCAACGTCCATAGGGTGGTTCCTTTTGGATATTTTCAATAGCCTTAATTTTAATCTCCGTAAGAGTGCCAGGCTGAACATTGATACCCTCCTGGTTGACGTCGGGGTAGGTCTTGGCCGTGTGAACAACCACCACTGCACCAGACAGCTGAGACTTAATCTCGGAGGCGAAGCAGTCGTGGCATTCGACGTCATCGTGGCGTTCATTGAGGTAGCTGAAGAGCTCAACTGTGAGGACCTGCTGGCTGATGCTCGGGTCAAGATCGAAGCTGTGACAGTTAAGGTAAAGGGCGTGGAAGAAGTGACGCCATTTCCCCACTTTCTCACACTGCTCTGTTATTCGACTGCTGCCCTCCAAGTACAGCACCTATGTTAGAACAAAGTTTCAGGCTGAGTTGACACGGCCAACAGGATAACATTCGTCAGCAGATAAAGCGTACTGAAGATAGAACAATCGGCATTGTTAACGTACCAATGTGAGCCTTCAGGCCGTGAACATTTTAGAAGGAGAAAAATATTTCTCCACTTGTGTGTTTTAAAAGTGTTAGCGAAAATAAGAGTTGGGTAATTTTGTACAGACTATATTGGAGTCGAAATACTGCCTTCTTGTCCCATCTGCTCGTCAATAACAACGTCCTGGTCGACCACCCGTAGTGCCTGACTTAATTTGTGCACACAAATACCTTCAACACTTGTACTCTGACGTGGTGCGTATAATCACGACTGTCATGTTACTTTAGTCGCGTAAACTTACCAAAATGGTCGTTAGATGGCTATTCAAGCCAATTACAACGTCGCTTTAACTTTGAGCATTTTCACGAGTGTAATCAGGATTCAGTAATTGGCGTTGCAATTTTGTACCCTCTGATCAGACTGCATAACCATAGCAGATGGATAAGTGTAACTGATGGGGCTACCACGAATGGATCGACATTTTATGCTGAGAGCAATTATATCCAAGAGCACGAATATTGAAATTACCATAACATCTAATTGTGTAACACTCAAACGAGTATAAGGCACCAAAGCTACTGATGTAATGATTCCTTTACTCGAAATATCTGCAAAGCACGGCCGAGCAAAGTGTTAGACATGAGTTGACATTTTATGGCCACATTTTCTGTCACAATTATTGCATTTTATACTTTTGGCGTCTAAACATTTACTTTCCCATATAAGATATATTAAAGTAGATGCAAGTTCTTTAATTTCACTACCATTTATGCCAGTTTATGCCTTGATTCTCGCATATTCATTATTCAATTCTTATTAAAATCAGGCATGGTTAGTCGAAACATCATGTTAACAGTAGCAGAGAAATGTAGGGAGATTTGCAAAAAAACCTTGGTTTTTAACTTAATCCTGTGTTCAAAAAAACACAGAATAGAACTTCTCAGCATGCGCTTATCCTAGAATGACCTTGTGTATCTTGTGTAACATGTATTTTAACCTGAAAACGACATACAGACCAATTAAATCACGTGTTTGTCATTCCTGTGTGCACGTTGAGCTGAAGCGATGTTTAATTCACTCTCTTTGAGTCAAGATAGAATGCGCTTTTAATAGCATTAGCTACTCTCGACTAGCTGTTAGGAGAGTTGGCTAATTACAGTGACCAATAAAGACTTAATCGTCAACCCTCTGTGGTGAAATAAAAAGTCACTGCAATCTGGCGTCTGTAATCATTTCGTCGTAGATACCAGATTGAGTATAGATTTTACTAACCCTGGTAATTATTTGGTTCATTTAAAAGCATATTTCATTAATGTTCTTTTTTAATCACTCATGGGTTTTTTCCACTCCGTATGACATAATGCAAAAAAGGTTTTCTTGCGCCGTCAATTATGCTATGAATGGACAACTGGTAAATTGATTAATTAAACCGAGAAATATGCTGATTAATAACTGCAGTCACATCAAAGTGATCCTACACATTTAAAGCTTAAAATGTGCCAATGGGAGTTGTTCACGATATTTGTGTTTTATGCATACGTTTCTAATCACTTTTAACTTGAGCTGTTCTAATTTTTAAATTCTACGTGCATAGTACCATCGTGAAAAGATTTGCATGTATTTACAGTGCGTTCAGTCAAAGTGATAAGGTTAGAAAATTCCAGTTAATTTTTTTGTTTAAATTTTTTTGTACTACTGTGATGTATAACTATTCGCAAAGCCCGACAGACTGTCAGAAATGTTTAAGCGAACTCAGCATTGAGTTACGAAGTGGTCCACGTTATGAGGAGGTGAAATTGCCCTCAAACGACATAAAAGCTTTCTCATGGAATGCCTCCCAGCCCCACCTCCAAGGGAACCAAACTACTACTTAATTCTTGGTCTATTCTGACAAAGAGTCCTTTAAATAACAGTTTGTGAAATAAGATGAAACAGTCCAAACCTTTGGGACAAGCATTATTCTGATGATTCTCAGTACTAATTATTTCATAACATATTTTTAAAAGGCATTAGAGATTAACTAAACATTACACATTTCTCAATGCCAGTCTACTTTTGTATATTCGGTATTTGTATTTGAGGTGAATAAGTAAGGAGGAAGATCGTTATTTGCAGGAAGTTGCCTGCTGGAACTAAAAAATGTTTTTATTTCCTAGTTTCTGTTAGTTAATATGAGTTGCGTCTAATTTTGGCTACGTCGAAGACTAGATATGCAGCAAGATAAATTTTTCGTTAAATTTCTCCACACAAACACACACAGCACACAAGAGTCTAGCGGAAAATTTAACCAGCATTAAATTTAACCAACTTTAATGCCAAGCAGTTAAACACTAGAGTTTTCCACAAATGAAATAAAAACGAAGTAATTTATGTGTGTATTTAAAATGGCATCACGTTCAAGTGCGTGTTAAGCTATGAATTGAATTAATCAAACAGAGCCTGTGCAAACTTTGGTTTACTGCTGTTAGAAAAAACCGCGTGACGAACGTGGCAGACGTTGCTGAAATTTCAAGATGCATTGGAATTTTGAGGCAGACCTTTCCGAGAAATTTCGCAGCTGCTCTAATGACTCGGCGCGGCTAGGTTTCTAAAGCCGTGCTAATTTTCGCCTTGCTAATGCATCGACGTTTTATGACTGCAAAAAACCTTGGAGGTAGAGTACTTTAACTTCTCAGCAAAAAATGCGACAAAAGTACAAACTGGTGAAAGCACCCGAAAATTTTCCCATGTTACGCATAAAATTTTTCTAGTAATTCATGTAAAGTTTGTCTCATAAGATGCTCCATTTAAAAAAAGAACAAATTTTTAACAAGCAAGACGATCCGATAAGTTAATATGAGCAACTGATGATAATAAATACAATTAAGGCTGGTGATTTTTCAGTTTGACAAACAGCATTTGAGATATGATACCTTATTTTGATTGCTTGCAGAGGTATGACATCAAGCCCACAAACACGTTAAGCAAAAGAAAACTATGCGGCATGAAGTGAAACGTAAGTGGTGGAAAGTAGATCACTACTTCCGTGGAATGCGCATTTATAAAGAAGCACGCAGTTGTCACCAAACTGGACCAAGCGCAACCTACCAAGCATTGAATGACAGTCTCGTTTCGCATGTGTCCGAGGGAATACGAACTGCCCTTGGGCAGACTCTCCAAATACCCGCCCATTGAGATGGCGCTGCTCACGAGCTCGTAGTCGTGGGATTTGTTGCGGTAAAAGTAAAGACCCGCGGCGAAACTGTTCAGGTTGTTTGCGAACTCCCGCGGGTCACGAAATTTGAGGTTGCGAATCTTTTTCATTCCGGGTGGTGAGATGGGTCGCAGGTTGCACAGGGTCAGCGAGGGGAATGGCGAGGGGGTGTCACGAAGGACACGGGGGGGATGAATAACGTCATAATCGACGTACTGTCTAACCAAGAGAATCATACATGCAAAAAGCCCGATAAAAAGTGCAATCACAAATGTTAGCCACAATGAGCGGATTCCTTTATTGGGTGCCTTGACAATGCGCGAGACCCCGCGAATTGTAGTTGTCTGGCAAAATCGGAGAAATTCTTGTGTGTAAGAGATAGGCTCCTCTTCTTCTTCACTTTTGGCCATTCTGGAATGCTCAAGTTAGCATTGCCTTTTTGCCTGGAAACGGGCAATACTGCCACGAGGGAAGCACAAAATCTTTCAACCAATCATAATTTGCAGTGTCCCCTCCAACCAGCCAATCAGATTACCCTATAAAATAATCCGGTAAATCGGTGACTTGGTTTGTACTATGTGTAAATTATCGAATTTATTAATAAAAATCGCTAGCATTTTCAAATATAGGACTTCTTGTAAATGCCTTAATCTGCAAGTAAACGAATTTTAATTGCTAGAACAAACTAATTTCATATTAGCGTGACGCTTAAGACCATTATCTCAATCAACTTTGTACAAAGCTCCATTGGCTCTGTTTTAATCAGTTTTTCCTCTGTACGTGGTCTCAAAATCATAACTAGGAGATAGTACGCTTGGCAAGTTGACTGCGGAATTTGTCAACAAATAATTCATGGCTAAATAAGTGCTGATGCAGATGCAGACTTCGATTCAAATCTTAATTATTTTGCCATTTCTGAAATCATTCAAGGCGGCCACGCTGTGTCTTTTAACTCCAATTGAATTTTAAGGGCAGTAACCTTTTTCAAGCTGTAATTATTAACTGTTTGATAAGAAATCGGTGGCTGGGAATTTAGTGTCACTCTCCTAGGTCGTTTAGCGACGACCAGCTTGTGTAATTATACCAATGGAAACCACTAATTTATTAAGCCCTTTCCTGTAATTATTGTATCTGGCAAAAAGAGCAACGAGAATCTTAACAGATCAAATTTTGTTTTTCGATAGGTTGAAAGTAAGCTCAATTTTTAAATCCTCTTCTGTTGCATGTGGTTTTTTGATTTTAGAAGTTGTTAGAATGTGCTAGTGGCCATTTGTGCGACGCAGATTTTGAAGCAATGACCTCCAGCCGTTGTTATTTCGCCATTTTCCCGAGGCAAGTAGCTTTGGCCACAAGTGGCTCTCAAAGTTCCCCGTAAACTTGCCTTGGGGATGTCTGGAAAAACGTTTGAATGCATGGCAAACATCCACCAGACAATACACGCAAACTAATTCAGAGTTACTCATTGCTCAGGCACTAGTTATGCTCCTGTGTGTGGATTTAGCTTCAAAATATTTTTCTGAAACAATGAACTTTCTGAATCACCTAAGCTTGCTAAATCAAGAGTCCCATTGTTATAAGCAGCTCTCGTGAACAATACTATTAGCCCTAATCTTGCCTTTTAATTCTGATCACATTGCCAGTTTTTTCCAACGACAAAACTGTTTTCATTTCACTCACTACTTCAATGTTCTTCAAAGTAGTGATTACTGACCGATTTGCTTAGTATTACTACTCACAAATCATTAGGATATAGGTCATCGGCTGAAGTTAGTCATGATATTACAGTAAAGACCCGGTACGACCTCAGAATCACACCGGCGCCAAACGACCTTCGTGAACACTAATCGACCAGAAGAAGAAGAACGTAGATAACGTTGAGCTCAACAGATTTACTGCGACGGCAAGGGAGTGTTTGTTTTAGCGTAACAACGAGTCAGTTGACGCGGGGACGCTTGACATCGATCCCTGAGGGCAATCGGTTGAATACGTGTTCGCAGGGCAATTGCTACACCACTGACTTAAACCATGAGCACCACAACCAGGCAACTAACAGAATGTAAATAACAACTTGTCGCTGGGGCTGGCAAGAACATTTCGTTTCAAGGAAGACACGTGAGGAAGACTTAAAAAAAACAGTACTTTACCACTTGACTGGCAAACTTTTATTAACTTGAATCAACAGAAACATTAAACAATCTACACGTAACGATGTGCTTAGTAAATAAAAAGGTCGCGCATTAAATGCTACATGCTGGGTATCTGGAAGCAAATATTTGGAAGCAAAATATTTGTTATGATTTTTATGCCCAGACAGTCAAGTCTGGTTTTATCTAAACTTAGTCAGTTGTTCCAATAATTTGTAATTTAGAGGGTGCCAATGTAATGAATTCTGGGTTTATTACAAGGAAAGCTTCACGGTAATCTAAGGTTATAGGTTACTATGACGCTGAATCAACTTTTATAAATTTGTGAGAGTGTATAGCACGCTAAACCTTTCAGACTGTTTAATTTTAAGAATTAAGCTATAGTGTATCCACTTTTTGGCACCGACTAAACGCGGATATTTAATTCTCACTACAGGTCCCTGAAGACAAATAGACTATTTTAATGCAAACACTGTGTGCGTCGGTTCAAAATTATACATTGGAGACATAGTAGCTGCAAGACCGCAAAGGTTTGGCCTGGATATCCTCGAATTTTAAACGAGCGTAACCTTGATCCTGTACATTCGTTTTCGTTAATTAATTTTTCCACACCACAAGGCAATGCTTTCTGAATTCTCAATTCTGCTCGAGCGAATATTTTTAAGAAATAGTCAAAGTAACTTTAAATAAGGCAGTAGATTTGAACTATTGTGCGTACACATACATAACCACCATGGTCTCCTTTTCGCCCTCCAGGGAAGCTAGCCAGTCTGAAAGCCACGATCTAATTTGCGGGGCAAGAGGACTCGGGTTCGAGTTGTGGGCCGAAGGTTTTCTTGGGCACGGTTAGCAAACAGGAGCTTATATTCAAAGACCTACAATTGACATTTGTAAACATCCATTCGTGCAAAATCAAGGCACCTATTTTTTTAAAAAAAATCCTAACTAATCAAAGTGCTTAACACAACAAGCTAACTGTTTAGCTGGCTCGCACACTGCGAGGTTATTATAATATAAGCATTAACAGGAGCTCTGTCAATCGCAACCGCATCGAAAGTGAGTATGTCTATTCGGACGCATCTCTACTGACAATCACTGACCTTGATGTTGGTAAAATGCGTTTGAAAATTAATGCAATAATCCTTCCCTACTTCGCGGTTTACTTTTTCGCGGACTTGAACTAAGCGAGGTTTCGGCATTTCGCGGTGTTAAGAAGACTTGTGTTTTTATTTTTAGAGCGCAATTGCGGTAAAACCAATTTAGCATGATTAAAGCACATTAATGGAACACTAAACTGACACAAACTTATGAGCTCAAATGAGACCACGAGTGCTCTGAAAGACCAAGGAGTCATCAGCTTCCCCTATCTTCCTTGCAATTTCGCCTAAATGAGATCATTCGCGACACGCTATTGGCTAATTAGGTCTATGCTACTTCATGAAGGTTTTCTGAACGCATCTTCCTGTGATATTTTGCTGATTAACTAACTGTAATTTTACAGTGCCTCACTAAAAAAACCCATTATTCACTTTAGTTTCCAGAAAAACTTAACCAAGTTATTAACTCAACTAAAATTTCCTTAAAATGTAAAAAAGGAAGAGTATTGCAAACTGGTATACAGTACCTGTAACTCAACTTTGTGTCCCTTCATAGAATATCAAATTTCAAAGTCCTCGAAGCTATGCAATCGTCCAAAATGTTTGCACAATTTGCTATTCTGGATGGAAAAGCATTTAAATTCCTAACATATTCCTTTGCTGAGATTTTCCGTATTTTTTCCAGTTGGTAATTTCTGGTTTGAACAAAGTATCCATAAAATAAAACTGAGTAAAAAATTGGTCATATTTTTTAGGTTAAATTATAGTCTGTTCAAGAATTTGATATTTCCATTTTTAAAATCTCTTCACCAAATTCAAATACAAAAAAAGCAGAAATTCCACTACGAAGAACATCTTTTGGTGAACGTTAAGAGAATATCAGGTGTTCCAAAAATTAACGCTTTTCACCTATGAAATTAAACTCATAATTTTTTCTTATATGAACCCAGTCTGAATGTGAGGTCTTATGGCCAGTTAGCTATTTTTCAACTGGTGGTGATGATGGTGAAAGTTACCTATGAGTACTCGTCTTAAAAGTTCGATAATGGGACAACGCCACCGGGCTTCATACTCCAAAAGCCTCTGGTAATCAATGAAATTAGTAGTGAAAAGTGGAAATTATTACCATTTATGAGTGCCATGTTGTCCGATCAACTCTCGCCTGCCATCCGGTTAGAGTAATTTACCTGCAAGACAGGAAGAAGCACACAAGCAAAGGCCTTCCCAAGTATTCAAGTGAGATCGCTACTGTTGGGGATCCACGATTCCCCAAGATTGGTTTCTGATGTTATTTACATTAATTCACTAACATGCGTTTTGTTATGCTTTTTGTCAAGTCAAGGTCAATCTCGACTTGAAGTAGTTTCGTTTTCACCTTCGATACTTGACTTCTCTGCACGAGGCTGACGTGAATAAGGCTCTCTACACGAACTCTGGTCTTGTTCTTGTATTAGCGTGGGAAGATCGGTTCTAGCTTCAGCAAGGGATCTGGTACCGTTATTTGGGTGGTCTTCTCTTTGTTACGAGCAAACGTAACAGCTACCCACGATATTTTTCAGTTTGTATGTATGCAGCGTTAGCCAAGTCATTGATGACTCCACTTGTTTAGTCTTTAATTGGTTATTCACAATATTTCTGCGTAGTCCTTAGATTCAAACTATGCAGATAAATCATACCCTGTGAAGATCCTTTACGACTTTGTGAAGTTACATTTCAAAAACGTTGAGTGGGATTTTCAAACACTTGCGACTTTGATCCTGGTACGTTATAAGTCCCCCCTTCACCCATAAATTAGAGTGAGGGTAAATTTTCTTGGCGCTTGGCCTTAAACCATGCTTGAGACTCAGGCAGAAACACGACTACACCCAACAAGTTTGTGCAATGAGGCATCACCTTTGGATAGTTCTAGTTCACACATAACCTAACCCAGAATAGTCACATGTCAACTGGGACAGCATCGAATTCGAGTCAAAGGCAATGTGCATTAGTCACGATAGCTCCTTGTAAGGTTTAAAAATTAAAGAATGTTTTAATTACCTAGGTATTCTAAGCGCATTATTAAGCTTGCCTGTTGGATTTTGAATGTTTGCCAAGATCAATCACCAATCAACTACACTTAGTGCTTAATGTCATTATTTGGTGTGTCTAATGCATGCAAAAACTACGAAA